GGAACATTTAACTGAGGGCTCAAACAGTGGGGAAAAAAAGAGCCATGGGGGAAGGGGCAGAAAGCTTCAATGGGAATTCTCCCTGTCCTGGAGAGGCTGGCTCCCTGTGACAAACCACACATTCTGCTCATACTGTTTAGGTTTTCTTGGTCTACATTCCTTCTTGTGTTCCATTCCATTTACAAAGCTTTATTTAATTATGAAACCACAGTATAAACTTTTTTATACTGTTTCTATGCTTCAAATATAAACATAGTCAATCAGCCAGGAAGATAAAAACATATCATGGCTTCTGTCCCCCAAAGCGTTACAGTCTAGGTGTGTGCAATTTACATAAAATGGTGCTGAAGGATTGGAATGGCCATGGAGAAAAACGTCTAGAAAATCAATGTATATAAATAAACAAAACAAAACAAAACAAACAAACAAAAAAAGTGCACTTGTTGTAATGAACCCTGGATATTGTATGGAAGTGTTGAATTACTATATTGTACACCTGAAACTAATATTACACTGTATGTTAACTAACTGGAATTTAAATAAATAACTTAAAAAAAAAAAAAGAAAATCAATGTAACACAAGTAGATTAAGGCATCCTTGCCTTATACAGACACAACCAGTGTCTAGGAGTCTTAAGTTAACTGTTCTTATTATCAAACTTACATTAATAAAAATAACAAAGAAAATAAAAATCTGACCTAATTTTATAGCATCTTCCTCATTCATCTTAATGTTGTACAGTATGAGCTTCATAAGATTCTTCAAATTACCCAAGCTGTCAGTCAGACCACCTGGAAAAAGAAAAAAGAATTGACTATGTTCATTTGTCATTTACTAGATTTTTGTTACCAATCAAAAAATTTTAGCTACTCCATGGGCAAGAAATGCTCGTGAAATTGACACAAGAGTGTTTTGCTTTTGTTTTTTTGGTCAGAGATGGGCATCTTCCTTAGCTAAAAGCATGTTCTCCGAATATAATGGAGTTAGACTAGAAAATAATAACAGAAAGATAACAAGGAAATTTCCAAATACTTGGAAATTTAATAATAAGACTTGTAAGGTTTTCATGATGCTATCATTAAATAATATATATCCCAGACCAAGAGAATAAAGCAAAAGAAAACTTAAGACGAGTATCATTCATGAACATAGAAGCAAAATCCTCAATAAAATATTACTAAAGAACTCAACCATATATAAAAAGAATATTATACAACCACCAAGTGGGCTTTATACAGAGAATGCAGAGCTGTTTCGATATTTGGATATCAATGTATGTAATTCAATGTATTAATCTAAAGAAGAAAAACTACATGATCAAGTATGTTGATGCAGAAAAAAAATTTGACTTTATCTGACATACATCCATAATAATTCTCAGCAACCTAGGAATAGAAGGAAATTTCTTCAACCTGATAAAAGTCATCTACAAAAAAACTACAGTTGATATTATACTTACTGGTGAAAGTCTGAATGCTTTGTTGCTAACATCAGGAACAAGGGAGGATGTTCACTCTCACCCCTCTTATTCAACATTGCACTGCAAGTCATAATCAGTGCAATAAGGCAAGAGAATAAAATAAAAACAAATTGGAAAGGAAGAAATAAACCTGTTCTTTTTGGAAGTGACATGAAGTGAGTGTAGCAAATGTGCAGATTATAAGATTGATACACAAAAATCTATTGCATTTCTATATAGTAGCAATAAATATTTGGCAACCAATTTTTTAAAATTCCATTAACAGTAACTCCAAAAGAATCAAAAAGTTAAGTGTAAATCTGATAAAACATATGCAGGATGAACATGATGAAAACTATAAATTATGATAAAGGAAATAAAAGAAAATCTAAATAAATGGAAAGAGAAACCATGCTCATGGATTGAAAGATTCAACAAAATAAAGTTATCAATTCTCCCTAAAATGGCTTATAGATTTAATATAATTCCAACCAATATCCAGGAAGTTTTTGATTATATAAACATTGTGAAAGCCAAACGAACCAGAATATAAAAAACAATTCTGAAAAAGAATAAAGTTGTAGAAACAACACTATTCAATTTTATGACTTCCTATAAAGCTAGTTACTAAGACAAGATGAAATTATCAAGGAATAGACAAGGATACTGGCAATTGATGGATCAATAGGCGAATAGAGTCCAGAAACACAGCCAACATAATCACAGCCAAATGGTTTCGGACAAAAGTACAAAGGCAATTCAAACATGAAAGAATAGTCATTTCAATGAATAGAACAACTGGATATCCGTATGCAAGAAAAATGAACCTTGATCTAAGCATCATATTTTATATAAACATTAACTCAAATGGATCATAAATTTCAACGTAAACTTTAAGAAAAAAAGATAGGAGAAAATCTTCATGACCTGGGGTTAGGCAAAAAGTTTTTAGACATGACACCAAAAGCTTGATTTGTACAAGAAAAAATGACCGCAACTAAATCTAAAATTTTTGTTCTATGAAAGATGCTATTAAGAGAATGAAAAGACTAGGGGCACCTGGGTGGCTCAGTCGGTTAAGCGTCCGGCTTCAGCTCAGGTCATGATCCCATGGTCCATGGGTTCGAGCCCTGCATCTGTCTCTGTGCTGACAGCTCAAGAGCCTGGAGCCTGCTTCAGATCCAGTGTCTCCCTCTCTCTCTCTGCCCCTCCCTGACTCATGCTCTGTCTCTGTCTCTCTCAAAAATAAATAAATATTAAAAATTTTTTAAAAAATGAAAAGACTAGCTACAGATTGGGAGAAGATGTTTTCAAATCACTTATCTGACAAAGGACTGGTATTCTTCATACACATTTGAGCATATAAAGAACACTCAAAACTCAACATTAAGAAGATAAATTACCTAATCAACAGATGGATGAAAACTTAAGATACTTGGCCAAAGAGGTATATAGTTGGCAAACAAACCTATAAAGAGTTTTCTATTTTATCAGATAAGTATGATGAAAGAACACTACACCCAGAGTTCCAGTTGCTCTACATCCTCGTCTCCACTTGGTGTTGTCAATTTTTTTTTCTTATTTTAAGGCAATTGTAGAATGACAAAAATAAAACACACACACACACAGACAGGATGGTAAGTGCTAGTGAGAATGCAGAGCAGCTAACCCCCTCATATATTGCTATTGGAAATGTCAAATGGTACAAACTGGAAAATAGCGTGGAAGTTTCTTAAAAAGTTAAACAAGCATGAGGGGCACGTGGGTGGTTCAGTCAGCTGAGCATCTGACTCCAGCTCAGGTAGTGACCATGAGTTTGAGCCTCACATCAGGCTCGCTGCTGTCAGCACAGAGCCCGCTTCAGATCTTCTGTCCCCACCCGCCTCTCCCCTGCTTGTGTTCTCTCAAAAATAAATTAACATTAAAAAAAAAGTTGGGAGTGTCTGGGTGGCTCAGTGGGTTAAGAATCTGACTCTTGATTTCTGCTCAGGTCAAGATTTCTTGGTTGTGAGTTCAAGATCCACATCAGATCCACATCAAGATCCACATCATGTGGATCCACATCCACATCTGTGCTGACACAGCCTGCTTGGGATTCTCTCTCCCTACTCTCTCTGCCCCTCCCCAACTTGTGCTTGCCCTCTTTCTCTCTGAAAATAAATAAACTTAAAAAAAAAGTTAAAGACTTGTCATATGGCTTAGCAATCCCACTCCTAGGTATTTACCTGAGTGATTTGAAAACTTGTGTTTCACACAAAAACCTGCATACAAACATTTATAGTATCTCTGTTTATAATCGCCCAAACTGGAAATAACCTACGTGTCTTTCAGAGGTGATGAGATAAACTGTGGCATGTCCATATAATGTAATACTATTCAGCAAAGAAACAGATTAACTAGGAATATTCTGAAGAGATGTGGAGGGTAAAAATAGAAATCAACCTTGGGTAGAAATGTCAGGGAACTGAATTTTTAGCTATAAGAAAGAGTGAGCACTGATTACAAACTCAAATGTCAACAAGGTCCAGGGAGATAATGTCATTCCAAGAAGTAGAACAGGTGGGCACTGTGCCCACGTGGATATTATGTATCTTGTCCAAAGGGCACAGGAGAAGTTCATGAAGCTCTACCAATTGTTACCAAGCGAAGATGCAGGCCCACAGTTGCTGGACCTACAATTGTCAAGAGAAATGAGTAACCTGTGTTTTCACACTGCAATCTCCCAATGTCAAAATGCTGACAACTCCGGCAGAAGGGTCATGGCTGGGGGATGTGAAAGGGAAGGAGGTTTCACTGTAGATTGTTTTATAATTTGAATCATGTGAATATATTACTTAAAAAATAAATTTTAAAAATTAAGAACAAAATATTGGCAAACATTCAAAAGAAAACTCTACATAATATGTAGGCTAAATTCAGCATAGAGGTGACAGTTTGCAAGATCAGCAGAAAGGAATAACCATCAAGAGGAGATAGTGAACTTCCTGACACAGAAGGTAATCTAAATGAAGTCTTGGTGACTATGCCGAACCTTATGGAAGGGATTCCTGCATTAAGTAGAAGGTTGCAAAGATTATCTGTGCAAGAGATTCTAGATTTTTCAAAATATTTACTTATCAAGGCGGGGGAGGGGCAGAGAGAGAAGGAGAGAGAGAATCCCAAGCAGACTTCATACTGTTAGCTCAGAGCCCCACCAAGGGCTCAATTCCATGAACCAGTAGTGGAAATCAAGAGTCACTTAACCAACTGAGCTACCCAGGCGCCCCAGATTCTAGATTTTTAAAAAAAATTTTTTTAACATATATTTATTTTTGAGACAGAGAGAGACAGAGCATGAACGGGGAGGGGCAGAGAGAGAGGGAGACACAGAACCGGAAGCAGGTTCCAGGCTCTGAGCCATCAGCCCAGAGCCCGACACGGGGCTCAAACTCACAGACCGCAAGATCGTGACCTGAGCTGAAGTCGGACGCTTAACCGACTGAGCCACCCAGGCGCCCCCAGATTCTAGATTTTTAAAGTGATATGAAATTTCCTTTACAGGGTGACAGATGAGGCAGAGCTTGATGAGAAATCTATTGCAAATGAAAAGTAATCTTGGATTACAGTCAAGTAGAGCAAGGCTCCTGCCAGCCTGTAGGTTCACACCACAAAGTAGCCCCTGTTCGAGTCAACAGGCTGGTCTACACAGGTAAATCTGGTCTGTACAGGTAAGGCAGACATTCACCTTTAATAGTATTTTGCATTTGGGGAAAATTTGCCTTTATTCAGAAAGATTGGCTCAACATGTATGTGTCTGAGATCTGAAATTTCTTCATGTTAGACAAAATCTGTCCCCACAATCTTTTTTCAAAATGAAATATAGTTGGTGTTGGGGGTGGGGGGGGGTGGTTATGCTCTGCAGTCTCCTGGATGAGAATCCAGCAACACAATTAGCTACCAGCTCCTGCAAGTGATGAGTTTACAGGCTGGATTTCCTCCCAGAATTGAAGTGGGGAGGGGTGCCATTTGGCAGGGAAGCAGTGGGTAATGGATGGAGTTGGAGAAGGGGGACAGGTCAGTGAAGATGAGCTTAACCTACCTCACATGGACGCATGCACGCGCGCGCGCACACACACACACTACCATATAAACTATATTGCCATTCAGTCAGACCGTATAGCTTCAGCTCTGGGAATTCTCCCTAGGGCCTCCCCGTATGACAGTCTACCCCCTTATGGACCTCTCTTGCTCAGTCCTCCTACCTCTCTTCCAAGTCCTGACATCGGGTTGGAATTCAGGTAGAAAATTCAGGGACCCGTGGGTGGCTCAGTCGGCTAAACATCTGACTTTGGCTCAGGTCACGATCTCGTGCTTCATGAGTTCGAGCCCCAGGTTGGGCTCTGCGCTGACAACTCAGAGCCTGGAGCCTGCTTTGGATTCTGTCTCTCTCTTTCTCTCTCTCTGTGCCCCTCCCTTGTTCATGCTCTGTCTCTCTCTTTCTCTCTCTCAAAAATAAACATTAAAATTTTTTAAAAATAAAAAAGAAACTATTAGAAAATTTAAAGCAAAACTGTATGATATCTAATATTTCCATGGCACCCAAACAGGCTTGATTATAGCTTAAACTGCTGATGTTTGTAATACCTGGCAGCCGTGGAGTCTGTAGGTCCTGAATACTCAAGGTTTTTAGGTTTGTCACGGATGTGATATGCTGCTCATCTTCTATGGTGAGTGGACTGGCTTCCAGGATGAGAGAATAAATGTTCTTACAGGTGCGGAGGACCAAACTAAAGCTTCCGGCCACACCAGCACATCTCTTAATGCACAATCTGAGGTTTTTAGCAGAACTGAATATCTTTCCCAGATATTTGATATCTTGTTTATTCAACTTGCTGAAGTCCCGGAGTGTGACCTCCAGAGTCTTGAATTCCTGCTTCCAGTTGAAGAACAAAGACACAGCCCTGCTGGGAATGTAGGTTTCTGAGGACCCTTCCTGAGTCCTGCTTGTGTCTTCTGTGGTCGTGTCCCTCAAAGCCATAGCTTCTCCGTAGAAGTCCAGTTTAATGAAGTCCAGAGCACTTGCACAATTAGGCAAGTGTTCAAAGAAGTCAAATAAGTAATCGGGGATGTTCTCTGAGTTGATATATAAGCTTTTGCCACAAAAGAAAGCTTCAAATTCTTTACTCAGGTCTGATTTGGATATACTCTCATGGAATAGATTAATGCCACACTCTGTAAAGGAACTGATGTTTATGGCTTTCAGAGTTTCTTGCACGGTGGTGTTTTTCACATTTTGTATAGACTCCTGCCTCCAGAGAGGCTTCTGGGTGATGGAGAGCCCAAGGAGGCTGCCATGTTGATACACTGCTGCAAGGTGTTCCAGAACAGTCCTGGTGGCTTCAGGAGATGATCCACATGTGTACAGGAGCAGGTTGCTATACTTGGATGTAATGTCTGAAATGAAAACCATTTTCTGCAAATAACCTTTCCCCTTGGTCACTTCCTCTGGCTCTTGAGACTTCAGCAAACTGCTGAGTCTGCGTCCTGCTATGTACTCCTGGAAGGAGTTATGAAAGAATTTATACTTTGGCTTGAACTGTTGAGCTGTGTATTTACAGAGGAGTCCAGTTGTCAGTAGGACATCCTCGTTCACACTGGACATGTCCTCCGGTTGGAAATCAAACCTGTGGGAGAACACACCCTCCAGAGCTAGGTCTCCACAGTGGTTCAGGCTCTGAGCGAAGTCACCTGCAGCCAGCCCCTTAAGTTTGTACTTGTTCTTCTGTATCAGCAGGTCATAGAAGGTGCGGAACAGTGTTGTTTGTGTGTAGGAGTGGAACTCACTTTCCCCCATCTGGATTACACAAGTGATGACCACGAAGAGAGGGGTCTTCATCAGGTTCCTCAAGCATCTGGATTTCCTAATTTGGAGCAACAAGCCTTCAGCATGCTCCTTCATCAGCACTTCTCGGATGAGAGTCTGGGCACTGTCCTCTGTCATGTCCCCTACCTCGGCAATCAGGGCACCAAACTGCCTGATGTGTCTCAGGCACTCAGTGGTGGTGGTGACAATGACCGTATTCTTGAAGCGGTGGTTCTCCTTTATGAGGGCTTCAATCTCTGGGCAGTTCTGGGCCTTGAATTCATTGTAGCCATCAAGGAGAAACAGAACTCTCTGCCGTAGCTTCAGCAGCATGGCCATGAAAGTCTGCTTCCTGATGGTGTCAGGTATATCCAGGAGTTGATCACACAGAGTTTCAAGGAGCCCACCCTGGGCCCTGCTCAGACGGACAAAGAAGACTAATTTGAACTTGGTGAGAGCCCCACACGTTCCGGAAGCCCAGAGCATGGCGATTTGCTGCAGCAGAGTGGACTTCCCTTTGCCTGATTCCCCCTCAATGATGCAGGGACTCTGAAGAGTGTCTAGCAGCCCATCCAGGGTCAGCTGCTCCAATCGGTGATGGTGATGGTCCTTCTTCCATAGAACAGGTTCTGTGAAGGTGCTTTTCAAATTAAAAATAATGTCAAAGTCTTCACCCAGAGGATAGAAGTTCAGGAAAGATGGAGTATTGTATAAATACTTTAGACTCTGAGCCAAATCATCTAAGACTTCTTCTGACATCTGCTTAGAAAGACCTGTTAGAGAAGAGGTAAGGTTAGAGGACCCAATTCTGTGTTTCCCCAGAACTTAAGTTTTCAGGAGGATGAAGAGGGATTTATGTTGGGAATGCTCCATTGGTGACTTTACTTTCCTTCTCCAGTTCTGAGCTGGCACAAAGGATTCCAAATATTTACTCTTCCCCTTTTGTCTTCTGTTTCCTTCTTTCCACCACATGGTCTTTGCAGCAGTCAATTGGAAATAGGAGTCTGTGTTTGGGTTAAGTTCTAAAGTGTGTGAGAATAGTGGGGTGGTGTGGGGTGGTGTGGGCCGTGAGGGGTGGTTAGGGGTAACTTTCCCCAGATCAAGCCTTAACCTTGATTAAAATCTATCATAAAACAAAATACAAGTTATTATTTAATGATAATATTATTAAAAACGATTCCGCATTGGCCTAAGGAATGTCAAGAACCAGGACTGCATTAATTTAAGTGCCTTCATTATCCAGTTTGATTTTGAAATGAGTCTTTACTAAATCATTAATCCCTGACCCTGGCATTACTTATTTGGCTTCACCAACAAGGGATATAATGGGAGTTTTTTCTGAGAGTGTCTGACTTTTTCCTTCGCAGAACCAAAACCCACTCCCCAGTGATGTAAGGAGGGAGGAGGGCAGAGGCTCTCTCGTGGGGATTATGAATCTTCTTCATGGTTTATTCTGTTTGTAGAACAGATACAAGAAAACTGATACTTACTTTGTCCATTCAAGTCCTGAAACAGGGGATAGTTCCATTTTTCAAGGGATTTGAGAAAGAGGTTACAGGATTCCGAACCCTTCTTCAGAATCATGTGAATGATCCCTCTTGCAGCATCCTGCTCAACCTTCTCACAGCAAATGACACTTACTTCTTCGTAATTCAGAACATTCCACACAAATAGCTCGTCCACAATTTGCTTTATAACAGTCATTCCCATCCTTTGAATGAGCACTTGACTATTCTCCTTTATGAAATTCACTGAGGAGATGGGGGAAAACACGCACATCGATTTATTTACGTAAAATGTACATCTCAGCAAGTTAAGACATTGATACTTTCTCTGTTTGGAAGACTGATGAGAAAGATTGAATAAAATCGCATAAGTCACATACATAAAAATGTTTTAAAATTTGAAGAGTGCACTGCTGTGTAACTGTAAGGTATTCTTATTGTTAACCGTGGTGTACCTCCTCCTGTCTGGACTACCATACTCCTCTCTTATCAAGTAATTAGGTGAAAACACTGCTGCTTATTCATTCATTCATTCATTCATTCATTCATTTGTTCAGTATTCATTCTTATCAGATTCTATCTAGGCCAGTGCTAATACAGTACAATATTCTGAGATGATGGGCATGTCCTCAGTTTGCACTGTCCAGTAGAGTAACCACTAGCCACGGTGGCTCTTGAGCACTTGAAATGTGGCTCGCCCAACTGTGCAACTGAATTTTAAATTTTACTTAATTTTTATTTATTTAAATTCACGTTTAAATAGATACATGTGGCTAGTGGTTACCATATTGGATAGCACGGGTCTCACTCCAGTCATCAAAGTGGAAAGCATTACATTTTGGTTGCCACTTGGATCCACACCATGTTTCTTCATAATGATCTTGACAGGTGTAGCTCTTTGCTGTCTGGATGGGAGGATGCGGCTGAATAGGGAATGGCAGGGGACCAACATTTTAAAACATACACCTGGTTACTCTTTGTGCATAAATCCTGTTCTATATGGGGTTGTGCCGGTTATCATGGATTGCCATGTTTGTAACTGAATTCTCAAAACCACACAATATTTATGGGGAATTCCACAAATAACTGTTGGGGAGAAGACACAGATTGATTTCCCATTCAATATCATCCATATTTGGTGGCACATTATACAACCAAGCAGATTTAATTTCTAGTATACTTACTTGTTCTGAAAAAAAGATTTTCACTTTTCTATATCTCAGTAGATGATATTTCCAAATGCACAGGTCAAAGATGATTCTAATAGTGTTCCCTTCTTTTTGTACAACTGCTCCTCATTCTGTAAAACTAACAAAACAGAACCAAAAGCTATCAGGCAGCAACCATTGTCACTTTTGTACTTATTTTTTTCCACACCAAATAGGGGCACACTGTATATACTGTTTGACATTCGTTTGTTTGTTTTTTTAATTTACTATATGTTTTCAGACCTTTCTATAGCACTTAAGTTCTAAACTAATTCATTTTATTTAGTTATGTTTGTTTGTTTTAGTCATCTCTACACCCAATGTGGGGCTTGAACTCACAACCCTGAGATCAAGCGTCACATACTCTTCTTACTGAGCTAGCCAGGTGCCCCTTAAACTGCTTCATTTAAAAAATCAACCTCATTGGGGAGCCTGGGTGGCTCAGTTGGTTTGGCATCTGACTTTGTCCCAGGTCATGATCTCTTGGTTGACAAATTTGAGCCCCACGTTGGGCTCTGACAGGTCAGAGCCCGGAGACTGCTTAGGGTTCTGCGTCTCTCCCTCTCTCTGCCCCTCCCCTGCTCGCACTCTGTCTCCCTCTCAAAAATAAATAAACATTTAAAAATAATTTTTTAATAAAAAAAAATCAACCTCATTAGGGCTCCTGGGTGATTCAGTTGGCTGAGTGTCCAACTCTTGATTTGGGCTCAGGTCATGATCCCAGGCTTAATTCTCTCTCTCTCTCCCTGTGCCTCTCTCCCCTGCTTTCACACACTCTTTCTCTCTCTCAAAACAAAACAAAACAAAACAACAACAACAACACACAAACAAAAATATCAACCTCATTAAGGTATAATTATATACAAGACATACATATATATGGTATATTTGTATGCAGGTATTATATTATGTATTTGATGTATATATGTTTATTATATATAATAAATGTTAATGATTATAATAATTATATATTATATAACACATTTGTATGTATATATTAATTATATTATATTAAAATATAATTATAGGGGCGCCTGGGTGGCGCAGTCGGTTAAGCGTCCGACTTCAGCCAGGTCACGATCTTGCAGTCTGTGAGTTCGAGCCCCGCGTCGGGCTCTGGGCTGATGGCTCAGGGCCTGGAGCCTGTTTCCAATTCTGTGTCTCCCTCTCTCTCTGCCCCTCCCCCGTTCATGCTCTGTCTCTCTCTGTCCCAAAAATAAATAAACGTTGAAAAAAAAATTTAAAATATAATTATATATGATACAAAAACTACAGA